AAAAAAAAAAAAAACTAAATATACACTAATAATTTGAACAGTGTGCTTATTCAAAACCGCACCGCCCATTGATTCCCAGCATAAACGGATAGCTTTCTTCCTCCCTCTCAGGACAGAGCCGATTATTATGTCAGTTCATAGTTACCTCTCTGCTCTTCCTACTCGACCGATTCTGTGAACATAGTTCTGTTTGTCATCTGGGAATGTCACGTTCACAACTGGAAAAGGAAAGAAAATAGAGAGTTTTAGCATCGACGAAAGCGACGGCAGCGAAAACGTCACTTTTAAAATGAATTGGCGTTTTTTCAAACTTTGTCGCGTTTAACTTAGTTCGCTGAAAATGTCTAATTTAGGCAAATTTCCTTGGAGTTGATTTCTTGGGGACCACACTCAAATCTAGAAAGAGAAAGAAATTTCGTCATCGCTTGTTCACGTCCTCCATGAAACGTGAAACTAGGCATTTTCACGTCGTAATGGTGCAGTAACGGCAAAGAAATGCAGAAAAAAGCGTGATGCACGTGCGAACTTGTTGTTTTGCTCAATAAACCTAATTGCTTTTTTTGACGTTCTCGTTGCCGTCGCCGTCGTCGTTGCTAAAACTCCCTATTAGAGCGGTTTTCACTTGACTGTCGAAAGTAATTGAGGAATTGGTTTGGTTTTGGTTTTACTACGCCCTTTGGTTGGCTAGTGTATTTACTTTGGTTTTGGTTTTACGACAGTCAAGTGAAAACCGCTCTATTCTTACTCAGCGAGGTACTTGGCGACCTTTGTCACATGATAAGGGGATAAAACAAACGTCCAATCATTGGTGAAAAATATACGGTCATGTCAATGACGTAATATGTTACCAAAGCAACGGTACAACTCATTCGAAGCATCTTCAATTTAACAACAATTACTTTGACTTGGTTAAACACAAGTGATGATGGTGGAAGATGTGAGCGACAGAGCCAAGTTGATCGTAATTAGCACTCAAATGCTGCTTTTTTTACTGTAACTCTTGACTGACGCAAATCAGGCCTCAAAAAACTCGGCTCCGATCCATGGAAGCAGCGTTTGAGGCTGTATTCGTTTATATTGTGTTAGGAGATCACAATTACTTCTAGGCAAAGTCAGCCAAGTCTTGTCCAAATAATTTATAAACCGTTGAACAGAAACTTAACCATCTTCGGAGACCCATAGCCAGTTATTCGGAAGAAATGGCGCAAAGAGATCTCTGAAGCACGAACGAGTGTTCTTCTAAACTTTCGTGGCGCCATTCCTCCCGACTCGACTGACGGCTCTTAGGGTCTACAAGGACGGAATTTAACAGTAGTACCCATATTTATAGGAAGATAAAAAAGTGTTCTAAGTCAAGACTTACCATATGGCACACCAGTGATGTCAATACCTCTTGCCGCAACGTCAGTACAGATAAGGAATCTCACTTCACCCTCCTTCAAGATACAAAAAAGGGAATTCCCCACTTCAGAAACTCTAGGGAGAATGGGTACAAGTATTGGTTGCAGTGATTTCGGGGATCGTTTAGATGACAAGCGTCAGTTATGATTGGTCGAGTCGATGATATCCATGGCAACCATTAACCAATCACAAGTAACGCTTAATCGTTGCACCGAATGCTAGTACCCATTTCCTGTATAGTTTGTTGAGTGGGGAATGACGTTAGTAGAAGAAGCGCAAACCTTGTACAAAATGAACTCTCTCTAATGAACATACAACCTCGGGTACAGGACAACGCTTCTTTCCTACTTACCAAACCTCCCATGTGCATTCACAACTCACTAGTGCAAGTTTACCATTTTAAATAGGATTTTAGTTACTCTCCAACACTGCCAACACTGTCGGGTCGAAAAACCGTTACTTATTTTAACGAGCATTCACACAATTTGAACTC